GTGCTAGTCCTCTCCCCTCGGCGGCAGTGACGTGCCAGTCCTCTCCCCTCGGCGGCAGGTGACGTGCCGTCCTCTCCCCTCGGTAACAGTGACGTGCCAGTCCTCTCCCCTCGGCGGCAGTGACGTGCCAGTCCTCTCCCCTCGGCAGCAGTGACGTGCCAGTCCTCTCCCCTCGGCGGTAGTGACGTGCTAGTCCTCTCCCCTCGGTAACAGTGACGTGCCAGTCCTCTCCCCTCGGTAACAGTGACGTGCCAGTCCTCTCCCCTCGGCGGCAGTGACGTGCCAGTCCTCTCCCCTCGGCGGCAGTGACGTGCCAGTCCTCTCCCCTCGGCGGCAGTGACGTGCCAGTCCTCTCCCCTCGGCGGCAGTGACGTGCCAGTCCTCTCCCCTCGGCGGCAGTGACGTGCCAGTCCTCTCCCCTCGGCGGCAGTGACGTGCCAGTCCTCTCCCCTCGGCGGCAGTGACGTGCCAGTCCTCTCCCCTCGGCGGCAGTGACGTGCCAGTCCTCTCCCCTCGGCGGCAGTGACGTGCCAGTCCTCTCCCCTCGGCGGCAGTGACGTGCCAGTCCTCTCCCCTCGGCGGCAGTGACGTGCCAGTCCTCTCCCCTCGGCGGCAGTGACGTGCCAGTCCTCTCCCCTCGGCGGCAGTGACGTGCCAGTCCTCTCCCCTCGGCGGCAGTGACGTGCCAGTCCTCTCCCCTCGGCGGCAGTGACGTGCCAGTCCTCTCCCCTCGGCGGCAGTGACGTGCCAGTCCTCTCCCCTCGGCGGCAGTGACGTGCCAGTCCTCTCCCCTCGGCGGCAGTGACGTGCCAGTCCTCTCCCCTCGGCGGCAGTGACGTGCCAGTCCTCTCCCCTCGGCGGCAGTGACGTGCCAGTCCTCTCCCCTCGGCGGCAGTGACGTGCCAGTCCTCTCCCCTCGGCGGCAGTGACGTGCCAGTCCTCTCCCCTCGGCGGCAGTGACGTGCCAGTCCTCTCCCCTCGGCGGCAGTGACGTGCCAGTCCTCTCCCCTCGGCGGCAGTGACGTGCCAGTCCTCTCCCCTCGGCGGCAGTGACGTGCCAGTCCTCTCCCCTCGGCGGCAGTGACGTGCCAGTCCTCTCCCCTCGGCGGCAGTGACGTGCCAGTCCTCTCCCCTCGGCGGCAGTGACGTGCCAGTCCTCTCCCCTCGGCGGCAGTGACGTGCCAGTCCTCTCCCCTCGGCGGCAGTGACGTGCCAGTCCTCTCCCCTCGGCGGCAGTGACGTGCCAGTCCTCTCCCCTCGGCGGCAGTGACATGCCAGTCCTCTCCCCTCGGCGGCAGTGACGTGCCAGTCCTCTCCCCTCGGCGGTAGTGACGTGCCAGTCCACTCCCCTGTATCCAGCGGTCTGCCCTCTGAGGAGCACCTTGGAACGGTGCCCTGTCTGGTGACAGCACAGCCGGCCTTCCCTGTAGCCCTCGGGATTCCAAGTGGGGGCAGGGAGGCGCCCCCGTGGGGCTGCAGCGCCACGTCTTGCACTTGCAGAAGCATTCCCCGCCGCCCAGGACGGACAGCAGTTCCAAGAGGCTTCAGTTCAGCCCACAATGCACTGCAGCGAGCTTTTTCCAGAGCCCAGTCGGGGGCATTGCGGGCTGTCCAGGTCCCTAATGGGGACACTGTAAGGAGCCTTGCTAAGTACAGCATCCGCTACATGAGCAATCCCTGTGCATCGCTCAGCCTTGTCTCCACCCGTGTGCCTTCCCTTTTCCCACAGCCTCCTTCCACGCTTGGGAAATAGCCCTCTCTGTCTTGGGATCGGTGCTGCTCACGCTCGCACTGGTCCTTGCAGCCATCTGTTACTTCAAAAGGTAAGGCCCCCTCATGTCTGCCCATTGCCTGATGTAGC